CGACTGCCATTAGCATGGCCGTGGGGTCTGCTGTAGAACACAGCTGGGCCATGCCACCACTGGAGGCTTCAGTGAGGAAGTAATGCTGAGTCCTGAAGGCCTGTCATCAGTTATGAGGAGCCTCAGGGAGCCAACCAGCGTATGAGCAGCAAGTTTGGCCCTTGCATTATGAGACGCAACAGTTCTTGGAGTGGGCCCAGAACCAGGGCTACCTCAAGCTTTGAGGGTTTCACTGAGGTGCTGAAGCAGTGCAGATGTGCAGATTAAATCTCTCCTCCATCATTAATAGCTTCCTCGCTTCAGAATCACCATGGAAGAGAGTGTTCTTACTGGAATGAGGTGATGTCAAGGTTGGGGCTGGGCAAATGTTTGTGTGGCCTCCTGCAACTAGCTGTAGTGATGTTATTGTTTGTGAATTAATTATAGGTATTTTCTTCAAAAGTAAATAAGTAAAACAAAACAAATTTTAGTACATTATGCTAGCTTTTATAACACTACTCTTTCCCTGCCAAAATCAACACTTTTCTTGATATTTTATAAAAACTAAGACAAAAAGGAGAAAAAGTAGGATAATCAAACAGGAAAAAAAAAATGTGGTCAAATTCTTTTTGCCTTCTTTTCAATACAAATGCATATGCACTTACTGTCCTGTTTTAGCTAAATTTTCCAGCGAAATTTCCAGTGTTTTTGAGTGAACTAACCTGTCAATTTCATCAACCAATCCAATGTGAAAGTTTTTTATTCACTCACTCCGCGACCTGACTGAACTGGCTGTGTTAGCAGCCCAAGACACAGCCTAGCTAATACCACAAATGATTGCCAATGAGTATTTTTTGGATTATTCTAACCCTAACGCTAATCCTCTCTTTAGAGTCCAGAATTCCTAGTGTCACCTATCCAATTAGCCTCCATTAGAGGAACAATAGAAAACTAACAGAAGGTTACTGGCAAGCCAAAACTTTTCTGATAAGTAGTAATGGTTCCATTACAATTATAAATGCTTGAGTCTTCCAAAACTACAGAATACTCAACTTAGGCTGACGATATTGTTGTTATGTGCCCTTGAGTTGTCTCCAACTCATAGTGGCCTTATGTACAACAGAACAAAACACTGCCCGGTCCTGTGCCAGCCTCACGATCCCTATATACCTGATCCCATCGCTGTAGTCACCTTGTCAATCCATCTTGTTGAGGGCCTTCCCCTCTTTCGTTGACCCTCCACTTTACCAAGTGTGACATCCTTTTCCAGAGAATGGCCCCTTCTGACAACATGACTAAAGTATATGAGATGAAGTCTGGCCATTCTCACTTCCAAGGAGCATTCTTGCAGCACTTCTTCCAGGATCTATTTGTTAGTTCTTTTACCAGTCTTTGGTACTTTCAGCATTCTTTGCCAACAACACCACAAGTGAAAGGCATCAACTCTTCTTCAGTCTTCCTTATTTGTTGTCTAGCTCTCACATGCATATGATGGAATTGAAAATACCATGCCTTAGCTTAGGTACATTTTAGTCGTCAAGGAAATATCTTTGTTCTTCAGCACTTGAAAGAGGTCTTTTGCAACAGATTTGCCCAATGCAATATGTCTTTTGATGTCTTGACTGCTACCTTCATTGGCCTTGATTGTACAACCAAATAATATGAAGTCTTTGACAACTTTGATCTTTTCTCAATTCATCGTGATGTTGCTTATTGGTCCAGTTGTGAGGATTTTTGTTTTCTTTATGTTGAGGTGTAATCCATCCTGCAGACTATAGTCTTTAATCTTCATCAGTAAGTGCTCCAAGTCATCCTCACTTTTCAGCAAGCAAAGTTGTGTCATCTGCACATCTCAGGTTGTTAATGAGCCTTAGGCTCAGAGGTACAACTTATGTGAAAAAATGTTCTAAAAGATCTAAAAATGACCCGTTCTACTCACTGTGCATTGTGACTTTGATTAGTTTTTATCACATTCTCAGGTATGATTTACAAAATAAGTTCAGGTTTGCACAACTATACCAGGTTAATGTTCTCTCTCAAATTCATGACTTTTCTGGGACCTCAAAATGTGACCTTATTTGCAAATATAATTAGCTAACATAATGTCATAAAGAAGTAGTGAGGGCTTTAATCCACTATGATTTGTGTTCTTATAGGAAGAAGACAGATACCTACAGATGGAAGACTACCATATGAAGATGGAGACAAAGATAGGAGTGATGCTAAAAACCAAGAACACGTGAAGCTACCATAAACTGGAAGAGGCCAGGAAGGATTCTACCCTAGAGGCACTGGAGGGAAGATGGCCTATTCAATATCTTATTTCAGACATGAAGCCTCCAGAACTGTGAAGGAAAGAATTTCTGTTGTTTTTAGCCACCAATTTGTGGTACTTTGTTACAGCAGCCTGAGGAAACTAATAAAGCAGATTATCAGTTCTTCTTTAAGTCATAGCTTTTCTGGGTTTCAGTTTCCTCTTCTGTAAATGTAATGGATTACAGTAGATGATCTTTAAGGATCCCTCCAAGTTATAAAATTCTTATGACAACTCTAGAAGAGCAAAGTGAGGTACAGAAAAGTTAAGCAATTTGGACTTGTTGAAGGTCATGGGAGGAGTAGGCCAAGATGTTGTCCAGTTTTCCTAATTCCCAGCACAGTGGTTACTTTACAAAACCAGCCACCTTTCCGTCATTGCTGAAACCAAAGCCAGACAAATCCAAAAGAAACGCCATAGCACTCCAGGTACTTCTTCAGCCCAAAGTGCCTCTTTCATCTTAAAATCTGTTTTTCAGTTTTCTTTAAGCAACACTGTATTTATTTCATTAAAGAAATCTTTTACTTTTTGGAACTATTATTTCCTTTTTTCAATAACAGCATAATAAATATATAACTAATCTCAATTTTACATAGCAAAAATCAAGGAATTTTTAATATATACCACACCAATACAGGTATTTGCTTCTTTCTTGCCTTCAAAAGCTCCATTCAGTTAGGTTCTGAAGTGGGCTCTTGATTTACCATGAAAGACTCCCAAAACGCCATATGGCCAAGCAGAATAAACATATGGTGCCAGAAGCAACTCTAGCTCCTACTTCTGAACTGTTTTGCAGTGTGACCCCTGCAAGATCATTTTACCTCCTCCACGTTTCAATTACTTCACCCATATCCAAAGACAGTTATAACTATTAAAATGAGACCTTTCAGATTTAAAGTATTAAAAATCTAATGATGATAGATACTGGTTGCATGCCATGGTAGTATGTTTTTTCTTACTTGTAAATATGGGCTACATTAAAAAAACATTCCATTGCTACTGGTTAGTTTTTTTTAGTACCACACTGAATAATGCCACTTCCTCCTCGGTATCTTAGTTATCTAGTGCTGCTATTACAGACACACCACAAATGGGAAGCTTTAACAAATGTAAGTTTATTTTCTCACAGTTTAGGAGGCTAGAAGTCTGAATTCAGGGTACTGGCTCTAGGGGAAGGCTTTCTCAGCTCTGGAGGAAGGTCTTGGTCTCTTCTGAGCTTTTGCTCCTGGGCCATCTTCACAGGCTTGGCATTTTTCTTCCTTCATCTCTGTTTGCTAGCTTGCTTGTTTAATCTCTTTTATATCTTTAAAGAGATTGACTTAAAAACGCCCCCACACTAATCCTTTCATTAACATAACAAAGACACCCTATTTCCAAATGGGATTATAACCACAGGCCTAGAGGCTAGGATTTACAACACATATTTTTTGGGGACACAAGTCGAAACATAACTGTGTGTTTCTATAACATTTTTATCTGAGACAAGGCATATGATCTATTTTAAAGTTATCAAGCCAAAAAAACCAAACTCACTGCCATCCAGTAGATTCCAACTAATGGCAACCTCCTTTGGGTTTCCAAGGCAGGGGAAGTAGATTGCCCAGTCTTCCTTTTGCGGAGTGGCTGGTGGCTTGGAACCGCCAACCTTTTGGTTAACAGTCAAATGCCTTAGGCACTTTGCCACCAGAGCTCCTTATTTTCAAGTTAAGCAATCTTCAAAACACAACCAACCATCTCATATCCCTTCATCACTCTTCTGTTATCATTCTCTAAAGAATTTAACTTCTCCAGAAAGAAGTCTCCTAAAGTGTTACATTTTCTGTGCAATGCACGAAAGCAAATGCTGCATTACCTAGTAGTAGTAATCAGAATGTTAAATACTTGAAAAAAGCATTTCAATTTGCTTTCCTAGACATTATGACATCATTGCTTTTCAGTGTTTGCTTTCTTTTAATCCTGTTTCTATTTTGTTCCCTTGCCTCCATAGATTACCAATGATCCATTGTTCTCGTTCAAATTCAGCCAGTGAACAGCCTTAAAAACGCCTATTTGCACATTTTATGCTCGGTAAATACACGTTCTCTTATTGCCACTGATCTAAGGTCAATCTCTTGGTAAAAGTAAATCCGGAAAAGATCAAACAGGAAAACTATGCCTCAATGAGCGAGAGGGGCGGAGTCAATCGACTACCCTAAAAGCACACAACAGAATCTAGGGCTTCCATTAAATAAACAAAGGCATTTGTTAGGTCGATTTTCCCACAACGCCTGCATCCGCTTCAACCAAGCAGAAACATTTGAATGGAAGCTTAAAGACCTCATTGAGTTGAAAACGGGGTCCAAGTGCAGGATTTTCTAAAAGGTTTCCTCTGTAAGTGAACACCCAAAAAAGGTAGTGGAGACAGCTACCGTCAAAACAATGGGGCTGATCTTCGATACCTTCCTCCTACTTCACTAAAGGAGAATTAAAAACTATCAACCTACACATACAAAACAAGCTCTCACGGCGCTCACAATATAATTTTCAAGGGCAGAAGAAAGAAGGGGTCTTGGGGGCCGGGCTTCAGGTTTTTGGGGAAGAGTGTGAACAGCTGGAGAAGAGTCAAGTTGCGACGAGAGGCCGCGGCGAGGATGAAGGACAAGCGGAGTGGGCACCAGAAAGGAGGCGAACGCCAGAACGACCGGGGGCGGGCGCGATCCTTTCTCACCTGGCAGCCTTTCTTGTGGTGAAAGCCGACCACCACGATGTGCAGTACCGGGCCACGGGGGCCGCCATCACCGTCCCGCCCGTCCTTCTCCATGGGCGGCCACTGTGTGCCCGCACAACGATGACTTCAACCGTCAAGGGCGGGAGGCGGCACAGCCCCGTGGTCCCCAAGAGGACGGAGAGCGGGAGCACTTCACCTGTCAGCGGGCACGCCACATAAGGATCGCGCGGAGGGCCGGGAGGTGGCGGAGCAGCTCGCGCAGCTCAGCTCCAGGCCCCAGGGCCCCGGCAATGCTTCCTCCATCCGCTTCCGCAGCTTCCGGGCTGTCACCTGATGCGGCCGCCGCGGGCGAGAGGGCCCTGACGGGGCGGGGCCCGGAGGAGAGGGTGGGGCCAACCCGAGGGATGCTTCGGGGCGGTGCCTGGAGAGGAGGTGTTGAGAGAACAGGGGCAGGGCCGAGCATTCCGCGCCACTTTCCCACTTCGCCAGCGCTAGGGCAATCCTCCTTCCGTAGTGATAACTGCCTCGGAAACCCAAGGAGGGGTCGCTAGGAGTCGGGGCCGACTCGATGGCAAATAACAACAACAACAACAGGGCTTCAACCAGCACCTTTGTTGGTTTTTCCCTAAGTCTCCGCCTCTTCTCTTCAGCTTTTTTCTCTTTAGCATTTTTTCTGTTCACTCTCCAACGGGCCGATCCCTAAGGCACTTGACTGCTAACCAGGAGGCTCGCTTGGTTCAAACCCACAGCCACTCCTCGGAATGAAGGTTGGGCAATTTACTTCCGTAGTGATACCGCCTCAGAAAACTCAAGGAGGGGAGGGGTCGCTATGAGTCGGATCCGACTCGATGGGAGTAGGTTTTCGAGGCTTAGGGTCTCTCCTCCCTTCACCCGTAAATGCTTGATAACATGGAAGCATATTGGTGCAGCTGTGTATCTGTGTATTCAACCTTGGAATTGCTTGTTTACTTGAGATTTCGCTTTTATTTCATTTTAGATTATTTCCTTTCATTTAAATCTATGAAAAGGAATTTGGGAGAGATTTAAAAATTAAAAAAAAAAATACTATAGACAGTTTTCAAGATGTTGCTATTCATTTCTTTTCTATATCTCACAAGTCTCAGAATTGGCTCAGAATGAATGCCGAATATATTAACTGTTTTCTTGCATCTACTTTGGTATTATTTGCAACTGGCATCACTAAAATTAAACACCAATTAAGCATTGTTTTAAGAAGATGTAAGAGCAAAGCTTCTTCAGTTCTGTATCTACCATCTAATGCCAGCTTGTTTAACTTGCTGTCCAGGAGATCCAATAACAGTTTTATAAAAACGTGAGTCACTTTGCGTCCTACAGGTTTCAACTAAGATTAAACCATGTATTCATAATGATATATTGCTTAGATGTTAAAAGTATATATCATTTAGAAGAATGCTATAGATAGCGAAGATATATGACTTGGCAAAATGGGAGAGAAAGTGAGCAAGGGAATTTCCAGGATATTTTCCATCTCTAAATGTACAGACCAGTTTATCAGTTTAGAATAACAACTCTTTATATTCGTTTTTAAGTGAGTGGTGTTAATACAGAATGAATTAATTTTCAAGATATACTCACAAGGACAAATATCTGTTGTTGTTCTTATATGATGTCTAGTCGGCCCCGACTCATAGCAACCCGTCCTTGGGTTTCCGAGGCAGTATCACTACAGAAGTAGGATTGCTCAACCTTCCTTTGGAGGAGAGGCTAGGTGGGTTTGAACTGCCAGCCTTCTGGTTAGCAGTCAATTATCTTAGGCACTTCTGTTTTGTTTTTTTACAAAAATGTTAGAGATTATCAAGATTGCAAATATCAATTTGAGATAACTGAATACTCTCTAAACATTATTTTGAAAGGAATCTCTTGGCTGTATTTTTATGATGGCATTTATCTCCAAGGGAAACATTAGAAATGCCTTTCTGAACACATAATACATCAAAGAGCCTCTCCTAGTTATATACATTTTGTGATGAATTATAAATTCTATTTTGTCTGCGCTGTAAAAGATCTAAAGGGAGAAAAATCCTCGGGATGGAGTTATGACATATCTTCAAGTTCATTAAAAATGAATTCTCCACCTAGAATTGGCCTTTTGTTTCTTTTTGTGTCTTTTGTCAGGAAAGAACACAGTTGCAGAGCAGTGAATTACTTAATATGGTCCTTCTAGCCATAGTCCTCCATTCTGTGATATATGGTATATCCTAGCCTCTTTGCCTGTGGTTATGGTCCCATTATGGAGTGAGTTTCCATTATGTTAATGAGGCAGGATTAAAGGGTGTGACTCAAGTTACCACCCTTAGTTTCCTTGACAGTGTGGCCTACATCCTATATATACACAAATGCTTTGGCAAAGTTTGTTCTCTTGATCTGGATCCTACATCTGTTTTGTCATTGTCTGACCTCTAGTTTTTGGGACTTGAGATAGCAGCCAGTTGTCTGACCTGCCAATTTGGGTTCCTTGGCTCCCTGCAACCATGTGAATGAGGAGAATCCTTCAGACTGACACCTGACCCACAGATTTGGGACTTGCCTGCCTTCACAACTGCAAAAGCCATTTCTCTGGCAGTTCGTGAGTTCTATGAGATGTTACACAGAAATACAGAACCCTAAGATGGGAGTGAGAGGAGTGAGAGAAGGAGGAGTAGTTGATGTTAGACATGATGGAGAAGTGTAGCAGTTTCGAAAAATTAGACATTTGGGACATCTTTAATCTCTGCCTTGTAGGGACCATCTTTGTGCTGATACTTCTAAATTATTCAAGCAACAGTCAAATAAAATCTTTTCCTTCTTACAATCTATATTAACTCTACTGTGAATGAATAATAGTTCCTTTTACAGAGTCTTAAGAGACTTTATTTTTCTTCATTAAAGCATTGAAAATTGTTAATGTTCATTCTGTTCTTGTAGTGGAAAACAAAGTGCAAACCATATATTTTTAAAAAGCATATTTTTCTGATTTTTTAACTCCTATCAAGTAGCAGAATCACAATAATGCCTTGAATTTGGTAAATACTTTCATTAAGGTATGGTGAAAATAAAACAGGAATGGTGTAAACCCATTGCCATTGAGTCAGATCCAGAAACCTAAGGAGGGGTTGCTATGAGTCAGGTCCAACTTGACGGCACATAACAACAACAACAACATTACACAGTTAAAAAAAAAAAAAAACAAACTCACTACCATCAGGTTAATTCTGACTCGTAGTGTTTTCCAACTCATAGCGACCCCCATAGGGTTTCCAAGGCTGTAAATCTTTATGGAACACACTGCCTCATCTTTCTCCTACCAAGTGGCTGTTGGGTTTGAACTTCCAACCTTTTAGTTAGCAGCCAAATGTCGTAACTACTGTACCAGCAGAGGTTGTTTTGAATTAAATAAAGAAGTAAAAAAAAAAAAAAAAAATTATATATCAAGGTATATTATAGAGCATACAGGAGACAAAGCTATGCAAACTTCTTAGCTATGGGCTTGAGGCCTTAGGACCATAATCTGGGGATATATCTAGATCAATTGGCATAGTATAGTCTATAAAGACAATGTTCTACATCCTACTTTGGTAAATTGCCATCTAACATACAACTATGGTCTCCTCATCCAGAAGCAATGAAGAGTGAAGAAAATCAAAGATTCAAGGAAACAATTAGTCCAAAGGACTAATGGACTACATAAACCACAGCTTCTACTGCTTGAGTCCAGAAGAACTAGACAGTGCCTGGCTATGATTACTGAATGCTCTGATCGTAATGACAAGAAAAGGTCCTGGACAGAGTGGGAGAAAAATTTAGAACTTTTTAACTTTTAAAAAGTTTTAACTTTTAAAACTTTAAAATCATAAAAAAGACTGGACCTACTGTGTTGATATAGACTGGAGGAACCTTAGATAATATGACCCTTAGATACCCTTCAAACCTGGAAGTGTACCCACTTCTAGAGATCACCTCTCAGCCAAACAACAGACAGGCCTATAAAGTGAATAGTCACCCCTGAGGACTATGCTCCTCAGAAGAATGGATCATACCAGACCAAAAGGGCAGCACCTGCACCAAAACAAAGCATTTGCAGAAGGCAGGAAGGAGCAGGAAAGATGGGATCCTGGAAATGGGGAAACCGGGGAGGAAATGGTAAAAGTGCTGTTACAGTGAGGGGATTGACTAAAGTCATGAAATAAAATATGTATAAATTGTTCAATGCAAAACTAATTTGGTCTGTAAATTTTCACCCAAACCACAATAAAATGTTCAAAA